GCCTGAATCTTTGCAGAAGATACTTGAAGAAGTAGTTCAAATAGTTGTGAGCATGGTTAGCATGAACACCTTCTTATTCATGCGGATGTAAGGTGGCTTCTCTCGAGGGAGGATATTGACAAGATTTTTTGAACTTAGAGATGAAGTTAGTGTCTTTTTCTTGACACCAAGTACGCAGATGTTCTCACTGACTTTTCTTGGCTTTGCTCAACTGCCTACTTAGCTGACGTATTTAAACACTTAAATGTATTAAACTTAAGTTTACAAGGGAAAAATGTAGACATGTTCAAAGTTGAAGATAAGATCAGTGCTATGGTAAAAAAGTGCCTGCTGTGAGCGGCAATCTTGGAGTCTGCAGAGCAGAGTTTACCTGACCCGATAAAGATCAACGTAGCCGAGCACCTACGCAGCCTAGCCACGACTTTTAGGATATACTTCCCTAAACCTAACCCTGACGATGGTTGGATTCGAAATCCTTTCAGCTGTCAAGCAAATGAATAAATCCAAGGCCCCACAGAAGAAAAACAAGATAAGCTTCTGGATTTGTCGAGTTCTGGTACGATGAAGGAAATTTTTAATGGCGAGAAAATAGCAGACGTCTGGTCTAGTCAGATGCAAGGATTACAAAGAACTTAGAGACAAGCCCATGAAAAAAAAAACCTTCCGTTTGCAACAACCTATCGGTGTGAGCAAGCATTTCCTTCCATGTGCTTCATGAAAAACAAATATAGGCTTGACATGCGGTCGGATTTCAAAGTGAAAGTTCAAGTTTGGAACCTAAAATTACAGAAATAATGGATTCAACGTAAGATTAAATTCAACGTATCTCATTAATTGAGTGAAAATTAAAACTAATAATGTACTTATATAGGTTCTCTGTATTTTCACAAATAAATCCTAAATAACATTAGTTTGATTTATGTTTTCACATATTTTGGCTCTTTTCAAGTAACTTTAGGTTTGTTTAGTTCTTTAGGAAATAGTGGGGGTACTCGTCATTGTAGTACCTCGATGAAGGGATCCTTGGAAAAATTTTGTTGGGAACCCTTGCCCTATACTAAAACAATTTTTAATTGAAGGTGATTACTTGGCAACATCGTACTTAACGAAGCCCTTAACGATAACTTTCCAACGAAATCGTGTTGAAATTATCAATTTTGCAGAGGCGTACCAAAAAAAATTATTTATTTAAACACATAAGTAATTATGTAAAAATTAAATCTAAGACCGATTTAATTATTAAATTATCATGTCTCTTTTAACAGGTATTTTATAGTTGTCTAACAAAATAAAATAAAATTTTATTCTTATTAGAGAGTAACTAATACAGAACTTCAAAAAACAGAAAACTTTGGAAAATAATTTTTTTTTCATTAGACTAAAAACAATCTGCAATTTTAATTACACATCATTACACATCTTTCTCTATTTATAGAATTGCTGTGTGCTGTAAACGTTATATTTGTTTTTTTTTAACTTAATTTGAAAGTTTGTTTGTGTTTATTTGTTTATATAAATATGAAAATATATTATGAAGTTCATATAAATTAAAATGAAGTAAGCTAAACTATTATCATATGAATGCGTTTATATAGCAGTGCATTTGTTTATTTCAGTAAATTCTCGAAATATGAAATGAAGATGGCACTAACTACTAAAGAGTTAATAGCTTTGTTAGAAGAAGACTCAGATTGTGAAAATGCCACTTAATGTAGTTTATTTGCCGCCGAGATTAGATTAGAAAGTTTCTGATGTAGAAGACATTGATCTTCTTCTTCTTCTTCCTTCTAGTTTGTAGGCTTTAAAGCCTGTTTCTTCTTCAATATTAGCTTCCTAAATTGTTTAAATTGTCGCACCATCTTTTTTTTGGTCTGCCAATACTTCTTCGTCCATTTGGTGACTTATCTCATGCTATTCATACTATTCTATCCTCCGCCATTCTACTGATGTGTTTGTTCCACTTTTGTTTTCGTTTTGTCACCCATCCATTTCTGTCTTCTATATTGCATGCTCTTCTTATGTTTTTGCTTCTCTTCCCATCCAACAGACTTCCCCTTGATATTCGTCGAAGTATTTTAATCTGTGTTGTTTCTAGCAGTCGTCTCGTTTTAGATGTGTCAGGTCTTGTCTCAGCCGTGTATGTTAATATAGGTCTAATTCCTGCTTTATAGACTCTTGTTTTTTTGTCTTGTCTTAGGTGTTTGTTCTTCCAGATTGTGTCATTAAGAAAACCTGATGCTTTACTTGCTTTTAAGCTGTGCTGTCGTACTTCTTCTTCAACATCTCCGTAATTAGTTATATCTATTCCCAGATATCTAACCCTTGCTTCCGGCTTTATTATTTTCCCATCAATTTCGATTTTACACCGTAGTGGGTATTTAAATGTCATACATTTGTATTTTTCTGCTGATATTATCATATTGTATTTCTTAGCTGTTGTATTGAAGATATGTGTTAATCTTTAGAGCTCGTCTTCTGTCTCGGTGATTAATGCGGCGTCGTCTGTATAACATAATATTTGGATTTCTTTGACCCAAATCTGTAGCCATGACTTTTACGTACTGCTTGTATTATTTCGTCCATTAATATATTCCTTATTAATGGTGACTATTATATTAAGTCACCCTGTCTGACTCCGCTTTGTACTGGTATACACTGTGTTAGTTTTCCATTTATCTTTGCCTGTATTCGATTATGGAGGTAGATGCTTTCGATGGTTTGTATAATATTGATTGGTATGTTCCTTTTATACAGTAGGTGTAAGAGGTCTTCGACTTGGATACGATCGAAAGCCTTTGTCAGGTCTATAAAACATAGATATGATGGCCTTTTCTGTGATTTGTCTTAGTACAAATACGGCGTCTACGCAGGATCATCCGGATCTGAATCCTTGTTACACAAGGGTTAACATATGATAAAGTTGTTAGTTTATTGATATTGTTGGTTGGGACTTTTGTGGTAAGCTTAAGTGCGGTGTTCAGTAGTTTTATACCTCTATAATTGTTGGGGTCTTCTTTATCTCCTTTCTTGACCATTGGTATCATTATGCTGTTTCTCCATGCGTCTGGTATCTTGCAGTGCAATATTAATTGTTGTATAAGTTTTGTCATCTCTAGGGTTAAACTTTCTCATCCGTATTTTAGAAGCTCGTTGGTTATTCCGTCTGGTCCTGGTGACTTTCTATTTTTGAATGAATTTATGACTATTTCTACTTCATGAAAACTGATTTCTATTTCGTCTCTTAGTTCAGATACGTTATTGTGCTGATTATTATTTTCCTTTGCTTTAAACAGTTCTGTCAGGTATCTTTCCCATTCGTTTGCTGGTATATTATTGTATTCCCTGAAGAGATTGATGATAATATTATTTGTGAAGAATCAATAAAATCGGATATTGCAGGTACATATGAAATATAAGTGATTGGGAATTCTAACGATTCTGATATTCCTCTGAACCACAGATAAAACGTCCAAAGAAAAAACCAGGCAAAAATAGTAAATCCAAATTTATCTCAAGTTGTAATGACGGATATTCTTTCGTGCTCAGTAGTAATTCAACATCAGTCTGATTGATATTTAGACAATATAAAAGCCAACCATGTAGGCAAGTCATATATTGAAGTTTTTTCACTCTTTTTGATAAAAAAGTAATTGAGAATAACCTTCACAATTTTGAAATGAATAACATAGATTTAAAAAAATTATTAGCATGTGTATATTATCTGGTTTACACTCTGCTTCAAGTTGATATGCATTGGTCAAAGGATGAGGATAAAGAAGTGCATATTATAAGAGAAAGCATCATCCGACATAGATGTATAATTTTAATTTATAATAGTGAAGAAACCGCTACATCAGTGTCAGTACATGGGCGTCAATCTAAATTTGCTTTACCAGATGAAACCAGATTCGACAATATTGGCCACATTATAAAAAGAGATGATAGTGTAAAAATGTAGGATGTACAAAAGTAATACTATTTATTTATGTAAAAAGTGCAAAATGCCTGTACACCCCGAATATTTCGAAAATTTTTACCTTAAAATTTAATTTACGTTTAAGATACAATATGTTCCTTTATTAAAAATTGTACTGTTTTCCTTAAAAATGAAAAAAAAATCTTTTTGGTTGTAATTTATTCCTAATTTGTGTTTTTAATCCAATCTAATAAATTAATTGTCAAATTTCTCTTTGTATATTAAGCGGCCGTTAAGGGTTTAATACTATATTAAGAATAAACTGGCCTTAAATTTTCTTTACTTACCTCAAAACTATTTTAAAGTTAATAATAAAGTATATTTAATAAATATATTCCCAATAATACTCTACGCCCATGCATATATGAATAAAATCTGGAAGATATCATATTTCATAAACTTCAATAAACTAAGATATCATATTTGTCTAATTAACATTCTTTCTAAAAACGTAAATATATATAGACCAGCAAAATATTGATAATTTTACCGATGTTCCAAACTATTCTATGAACTTGTCTCACTATACAATCGTGAATCGCACCAATTTATATTGTTACGGGGGCAAATTTATCTTACATGGGTTACAAATTTACATATTTACATGGGCGAAGCATACACAATAAAAATGACCCCGGTAAAAATTTAATAATGAAATTTTTCATGGTTGCCGCTACCGTTTAGTTCAATTTGTAGATTAGTCACCTTTAATTGAAAATTGTCTGACTATAGTGGAATATATACATATTTTTTAAATTTTCAAAACATCAAAAAAATTATTATCAAATTTGTTTAATATAAATATTTCAGGTCCATTCCATATATCTATCCGTTTTAGTTACTTTAATTGATAAATAATTTTTTGTAGTACAATTTCGATTGAACGTTATTACATATTCTCCATAAGGGCTTAATCATTCGTAAGTTTTTTAAAACAGCGGTCTATTGAAAACCTACGCGAAACGATTACTACTAAAAAATTAAGTAGTACTCATTCTATTTTCCCTCTCTCTTATCCACTTACCTTACTATAGGATGGATTGAACAAATCGATAACTTCTTCATTATACAACTCCATAAATTGTGCGGATACTTTAAACTCAGGAGGCAAAGTTCCAGCCGCCTGTGCCTTTTGAATTCTGGAATGAATGCCATCGAAGAGATGGTGAATGGCTCTTGGAATGATTCCTTTTTGTTCGTCTTTAACTTCAACATCAAATCCCGATCCCATTGTGTAAGTTTTTCCCGACCCTGTTTGTCCGTATGCAAGGACAGTGGCGTTATACCTGCGAATAAATAAAACAAAGGAAGTTTAGTTAATAGCTAGATGAAAAAGGTCATGAGAATTTTCAGTTTGTAGTATACAGGATGTCCCAAAATATGGAAAAATATTTTCTACGCTCTTTATTTAAGGGATCCTTTAATTTACCATTTTATATACATAAAATCGCTGTTTCTGGCTTTACTGAACTGTATTTCACGCTGCTATCGCAGGATGCCGAAAAAGCACTCGAAAAATCGAAAAATTACCGGGCGCCTTTTTTTAATTGGAATATCTGGAAGAACTCGTTAGTTCATGGGTTTTTATTAACATTTAAGCAAAAAACACGACTTATTTATTCACTGTAAAATGAATAAACAAACTACGCATTGTAGATGAAAAAGTTCAACACACGACTTTCTTGAAACTATTTACCTTTAAAATGAGATTTTAAAAATAAAAAAATGTTTATAAACAAAAGAAACCTTAGGAAGATAGCAGCAGATGAAAAGACTAATGGAAAAAGAACAAAAAATGGATATGGTTTCATAATTATTGAAGGCATTAAGTGGAAATGGAATCAAAAAACAAGCCGGATAGAAAAAGTAACATACAATACAGAACCAACTTTTTAAAAAAGCTAGCTGAAGAAAACACAATGACGGACCGAGAAACAAAACAGGCACGAACAGGAGAACAGGGACACGAGCAGACTTAAAGATAATAACACAAACGGAAGGAAAAACATATTGAAGTATAACTTAAACACAGAAAATACAAAACAATTTTGAAAATGGCATCATGGAATGTAAGAGGTATAAATGGGAAGGAAATAGAACTGGGGGAAGAAATCAGAGATAAGAACATTGAAATAGTAGCTATAACACAGACAAAGAAAAAAGGAAGAGGATAAATAATATTAGAAAACGGAATGTTACATACAGTGGAGTGGAAGAAACGAAGAGAGCTCAGGCATGAGTAGGGGTACATGATAAGAAGGACAGTATCAACAAAGTAAAAAATTGGATATATTACAACGAACGTATACTAAGAGTAGACATAGATATGGATACAGAGGAAACCAATACAAACCTAATCATATGCTATGGACCAGATGAAGATGCAACAAAAAAACGAAAAGAATGAGTTCTGGGACAAATTACAAGAAGTTATAAATGATTGTACAGAGAAAATTGTGTTCACAGAAGACATGAACAGTAGAGTGGGGAAAGAAGCAGAAAAATGGAACAATGTCATCGGATCTTATGGGGAGAAAAAAATAAACAAAAATCGAAAATTACTACTCGAATTCTGTCTAGACAATAACCTGGTGATTATGAACACACACTTCCAACATAACAGGATACACAAGATCACAAGAGAAGTCAAATCAAGCGACGAAAAATCAATTAGAGACTATACTATAGTGCCAAAAACAGAGAAGAACTGGATAAGAGACGTAAGGATGAAAAGGAGTTATGAAATTGGTAGTGACCACTATCTACTAGAAACCACATTCAAAAGCAAAAGAGAAGAAATAAAAAGAAATGAGAACATAAACAGAAAACACAAAGAAATAATAAAAATTTATAAACTAAGTGAAGAAACAACGAAAATAAGATACTCAGAAGGGCTAGAGAAAGAGATGGACAATAAACATAAAATAACAGAAACATTAGAAGAAGAATGGGAAAAATTTAAAAATGCGATGATAAAAACAGCTAATTAACATGTGGAACTACAAGAAATAACAACAGAGGGAAACGTACATCTTGGTGGAACGATGAAGTGAAAAGAGAAATAAAAGAAAAGAAGAAATTATGGAAAGAATACATACAAGACAAAACACAACCAAAATATGAAAATTGTGAAAGACAAGAACGAAAGTTAACAAGATAGTTAAGAAAGAGAAAAAGAAAGCTTGGGAAAAATTGGGAGAAAAAATGGAAGAAAACAGCACAGAAAACGTAAAATTATTTTATAGAACACTGAAAAACCTAAGCAACAAAGAAACGAAACTGAAACAAATAATGAACAAGGAAGGAACAATAATAAACGACGATAAGACAATAATGGAAAGATGGAGGGAACATTTCCAGCTGATACTGAATGAAAATCAAGCGAATACAATTGAGAAGGAAAGCCACATCCAGAGAGTATCCATGAGAAACACGGAAAATCCAGAAACTTTGGAAAAAGAAGAACTGGAAGAAGCAATAAGAAAGATAAAGATTGGAAAAGCACCAGGAAGCGATGAAATAGCACCAGGAATGATGATAATATGGAAGAGAAAAGTAATACCCAGAGAATGGACAAATGCAGTAATTATACCTATATACAAGAAAGGAAACACAAGAGACTGTAAGAACTATAGAGGTATATCACCACTATGTGTAGCAGCAAAAGTATATGAAACCATAATAGAAAGGAAAATCAGAAAAGAAATGAACATAAATTAGAGGACGTACAAAGCGGATTCAGGAAAGGACACAACACACAAAACCATATATTCACCATGCAACAAGTAATAGAAAAAGCCTTAAAGAAAAAGAGAGAAATATATATGAACTTTATAGATATGGAAAAAGCATTCGACTCAGTCAAAGGAAAAGATATATGGGAAAGCCTAAAGACGAAGCAAGTAAGTGAAGAACTGATAGAAGCAACAAAAAGTATATACATGAAAACAACAAACACAGTAAGAATGTCAAATATACAGTCAGAACCATTTGAAACAACTCAAGGAGTTAGATAGGGGGGAAGTTTGACGCTCATATTACATCCCAGTTTTTTTATAATTTTCGACCTTGTCGGCTACAATTTCTTTATGGTTTAGAAATATGTTGTTTAAAAGGAAACAGTCTATGATTTCTGCTAAAGAACTCCATGCTTCAGATTTATCCTGGCTCATTGTGTTCTGGAACAATCTGTCCAATTTTAAGGTTCGAATTTGAGGGCCTACAAAAATTCCTTGTTTAAGTTTAGCTTCAGAAAGTGCGTACAATTTGTCGCACAGATATTTAAAGCAGCCACATTATTTATCTAAAGCTTTAACATACTGCTTCATCAATCCCAGCTTTATGTGAAGAGAAGGCAAAATAACTAATTTTGGATCAATTAGTGTATCACATTTTTTTGTCCCGGTACACTCTTTCTCTGAGTGGCCACTCTTTTTTAACGTAATGTAAATTTCGTGCTCAATTGTCCCACTCGCACAAAAAACATAGCTACTCTTTTCACGATGCCTATACCATGAAAATGTGATACCTGGAGCCAATAGATTTTTATCTTTCAGTCAGGATTCTAAGATTTGTGCAGCATCCTTCAATAGGCCCAAGTCTCTCACTAAGTAATTTAATTCAGCTTGTATAAACTTTTGAGGTTGGTCTATTTCAGGATTGAATTCGTCTTCATCGGTTTTTTCGTCTGAACTTTCATTTGATGATTACTATTGGATGGTGTGAAGAAAAGGAGGAGGAATGGAGATTCCTGGTCCATGAGATACAGGTCGTTTTGTAGAAGGTAAATCAGGATATTGAATTTTGTGTTTATGTCTGGAATTGAAACCCTTGATATCGTAGGAGCAAAAGTAGCAGTCATGTCCATGGTTTTTTTAGTTCTCTCCATACCATAGGAATGCGAAAGGTAAAGAGGTACTTGTACCCTTTGTCCATTTTCTCAGTAGTTCGTCACACTAAAAGCACACTTTGTGTATACAACAATGTTTGTCCTGATCACCAAGTTTTACACCGAAATAAGTGTGATAAGCTTTTTTTATAAAGTCTGTTGTTTCGTTGTTGCTTTCCTATTGTTAAATCATCACACACGAAACAAAATATATCTCGACTGTTCTTATATTTTCTTGATGAAATTATGGCGCGATAAACACTCATAAAACAAGTCAAAAGAAAAGGCAAAAAAGTATTTTTAAAGTGTGTATATTTTTTAATAATTCCTAGCTGAGCGCTTTCGGCTTTACAAAGCCATCATCAGAGCTTTGGTCAATTTATAAATACCACTACAATGGAGAGATCTCATTTCCTTATTTGTTGAAATTTTGATTTTTTTAATTACTTAGTTGGTAAAAATTCTTAAAAAGTTCTATTCTGTCTACCTCCTCATAGCAAACAATGGTCGGGTTCTTGCACCCGTACCATGACAAAAATTTTTTAATGTGTCTGTCGCAACTCGATGCTACAAACAATTGACGCTAACTAACTCTATTTATGCAACATGCAACACACAACTGCCGATGACAGTTGTGTGTTGCGTGTTGACGGCATCAGCAGTGTTGCCATTCAAATGAAATTAACATAATGTATTAAAATATTTTCTTTCGGAACATAAATATTTTAAAGAAATAATTTTAATGCAATTTACTAACCATCAATAAGGTACTTGTTTGCGCTAGTATACAGATTGAACGAAATAAATTCGGAACATAGGAATATAATGTATTTCGGCTCAATTCTGCTGTAGCTGGTTGGCCAACAAAAGATTGTCAAATAATTATATTATAAAAAATCCCATACTTCAGTGGGCTGCTGGATTCTGAACTCATAAAAATTAAAAGCTACACATAAATCTACGATTTTATTATGCTGTCAAACCAGTTATAGTCCAGGAAATGAAGTATTTCACCTCGCAATTTTTCGTGCGGCGTAGATTGACTTCAAATTTAACAGAAGGTAGGTAATAGCCTAAGAATAAAAATCTATATCGAACCAAAGTGCGCCAAAGCCTAGGGGGTGGTTGCCACCCCATCTCCGGGGTGAAAATTTTTTTTACGTTTGAACTGCAGGTTTCGATTAGAAAAGTGATTCTAAACAAAAAATGTGCTATACATTATTTTTATAAAATGATATTTTTCAAGTTATTCGCGATTGAAAGTAACAACTTTTAGACGAAAAAATCCCCGTTTTTAATCGATTTTTCGCGAATAACTCGAAAATGGTGCATTTTATCAAAAAAATTGTAGAGAACAAATTTGTAGCTTTTAAAAAGACAAATACAATTACAAATACAATATCAATGTTCAGTGGTTTTCTTCAAATGCCAAATTTGAAAGATTTAAAGTCAAATATCGGGAAAATGATGTATTTTTGGAAGAAAACTCACAAAATCTTTTTTAAAGAGCATAAATAGACCTATCATAAAAAAATTAGGTCAATACCTAATTTTTTACGAAAAAATCGAGGAAAACAACACCCTAACCACCCCCATAATTAAAATCGATCTTCACCCTTCTGCAATTCCCTTTGTAGATGTATTTTTAATACGTCCAAAAAGTTTGACCCATTTAAAATGCTTAGTTTTAGAAAAAGTACAGCTTAAAGCGAGAAACGATTTACAATTTCATATTTTTTACCCTTCTTTTTTTAAATATGCCCGAAAATACTGAATATATGAAAAAAATAAAAATTACCAAATTGTAGCTTTTTTAATGACTAAAATTATCCTTTATTTAGATTTGTTGTACAATGAATATTTGGCGAGATATAGCCGTTTAAAGCATCGATTTACGATCAAGCACCATCTTTTTCGAGCCCTTTAAACTCACCCCATTTAAAAACCAAGGGTTCCAAAAAGATTTAATTCACAGATCCTTGTAGCTATTAAAAACCTCTACAAATCGTTTTTGAAGAAACACTCTATCGTTAAAAATTAAAGGAAATACGTTAAAAAAATCAGTTAATTTTTTTCCGGAAAATTCCATTAGTATAGTACAGTACATTTCGGAGCATAATAATCTACAAAACCGGTATATTAGCTAGTGGGGCGTTATACATTATAAATTTTAAGCGTTCTTATTTTGAAATCCCATACAACAGAATAAAACATCTGCTCATATGTCTATGGCTTGGCAATGAAAATATCAGAGCAACAAATTGGTATTCCAAAGATGGTTTGTTATTACCCGTACGCATGAACAAACAACCTGCACCCGATAAATTTTTGAAAATTATTTTTTGCCAATGCAAAAAAGGATGCGGCGTTTCATATGGGTGCAGAAAAGTTGGTTTATACTGTAACTCTACTTGTTCTGGGTGCTCAGGTGAAGTGTGCAATAACAGTCCACCAATAATTGAAGAAGATAAGGATGACATATATCACGATGAAGATGTAATTGATGACGAATAAAATTGATATTATAATTGTTTTACCTATAAATGTAAATATTTTCAACTATTTATGTAAATGTATAAGAATATATGGTACCTTTTTATGTTGATAATTTTTTTTGTATTTAATTCTACTTTTTTCAATTTATATCTTATAAATTAGTTTATAAAAACTGCAATGTTGTAAAGGGTGATTTTCAACAGTTGAAAAGTGGCAAAATTTTGGCAAAAAATTGTTTTCACCTATAGCACTCATAACAATTGATTTTTAAGGGTTAAAAATGTATGAATTTGTATTTTAAAGTATAAAAAACTCACTATTTAACTAATCCAAACCAAATTTCACTCATCTTAAGATTTGTAATATTATTTTACAATTTTTGAAAATTAGGGGTAGTTTTCACCCCTAAGAACAATCAGGGTTCATCGGCATGACATATACTATAAAGCAGAGGGTGAGTTGAGCTTAATTCCAAATTTTTATGCAAATCGTTCCTAGGTGAAATCATTTTCTTCGCATTACTAATTTTTTTATATTAATCTCTAATAAGGGTCGCTTTTTAAGGGTTGAAATATGATGGAACTTTTTTCAAAAGCACGAAACTATCATTATTTAATTAATTCAAACCAAATTTTACCCATATTCAGGTTTAATATGTCATTTTATAATTTTTGACAATTAGGGGTAGTTTTCACCCCTAAGGTCAATCAGGGTTCGTCGACATGACATAAACTATAAAGCAGCGGGTGAATTGAGCTTAAATCCAAATTTTTATCCAAATCGATCCAAGGCGAAATCATTTTTTTAGAATTAGTAATTTTTTACATAAATCTCTAACAAGGGTTGCTTTTTAAGGATTGAAATATGATGGAACTCTATTCAAAAGTATAAAATAATCATTATTTAACTAATTCAAACCAAATCTTACCCATATTCACGTTTAATGTTATTTTATAATTTTTGACAATTAGGGGTAGTTTTCACCCCTAAAACCCTTCAGCGCACTTCGGTTCGATATAGATTTTGATCCTTGGGCTATTACCTACCTTCTGCTAAAATTTCAACTGGATACATGCAGGACGAAAAAATTGCGAGATTTTAACTTTTTTCGAACTTCATTTCCTGAACTACTATCGCCTCCTTAGACAAACCCGTCTTACGCAAACAACTTTGTTGCGGGACAGATAGTTGAACGATATTTTATACAATGTCTATACCCAGGTATGGATTTATTTTTGTCCAAGTTTTATATTGGTCCACTATTTCAAATGCAGTTCAAACAGACATGTATTAAATTGTATGTTCCGTTTTAATTTGGTTCAATCTGTATAATATCTAATGTAATATTATTACACACCCTGGTGAGATTGTCGTTCTTTTCGGCTCTGCCTAAGGTTTTGAATTATCTAGTTCTCTCATCTCATTTTGGGTCTCCATCTTATTCTACCTGTTACAGGTCTCAATTTAGGGATTTTATTAATAGCTAATAATAACTAATAATTACTAATAACTTTTATTAGTAATTTTCTTCATGTTTGCGCAGTTAAGAGAATTTGGCATGGGATTGTCCGGTTTTAGCGAAATTTCGTACATCTGGTGCTTACTTTATCGTGTCCGGACATGTCATTCATAAAATTTCGGCCCAGTATCGGGCTACGTCGGTTCCATCTTTGTTGGCGAGCCACAAATCTTTAACGGTACATCGATGAGGACAGTTTCTGCATGTAAGAAGATGTTCCATATTCTGTGTTTCTCCACAGTCACAGTTCACATCATCTTGGTTTATTTTTCCCCATTTTGCCATGTTTGATTTTACTGTAGCAACCCACGTTCTTATCCTATTCAAGGTTTTCCACGTTTTAAAGTCTAGGGTCTGGCCGGTCCATTGAACCTGGGGAAGTGGAAAATACTCAGGCGGTTCATCCTTCACTGTTCCAAGGAAGCTTTTCCTAGATTTTAGTCGCTTTAGTGGTATTGTTGAGGGTTCTGCAAAACCCGCTGCTCTATATAGATTTGAAAGTGGCGTTGGTTTCATGCACTCCGTTAGTATCCTGCATGTCTCATTTAGCGCAGTATCAACTTGTTTGGTGTGGGCAGATCTGCTCCAAACGGGGCATGCATATTCAGCAGTTGAGAAACACAGTGCCTGTGCCGTTGTTCTTAAAACGCCAGGACGTGCGCCCCATTTACTTCCCGTTAGCTTTCTGACAATGTTGTTTCTAGTTGTTACTTTCCCTCTTGTTTTTATGCAATGTTGTCTGTAGGTGAGGGAGCGGTCCAGAGTTACTCCAAGATATATAGGTTAGTTTGTGTGTTCTAATGTATTACCATTCCACACAATTTGGAGTTTTCGCTTGGCTTCCTTTGTGCGAAGGTGGAAAGCGCAGACTTGGGTTTTAAAGGGATTGGGTCTCAGATAATTCTGCAGGTAGTACTCTGTCATTGTTTTTAAGGCAGTTTCGAGTTTCTCCTCCACTTCTACTGTGTGTCATGTCCATTTTCAAGGGTCTCAATCCACTTTTCCTGTCTGGCTTGACTTAGCTGTTGGAGTAGTACTGCTCCGCAGTCAACCGTTTCTTGGCTAAAAGGATCAGTGGAATAGAGGGTTTCGTATGTTCTCATTAGTTCTTTGGACTCGCTGGACATCCCGGAAACGTATTGTTGTCTACATCCTCTAGGGATACTTTTTCTAGACACATTTTTGAGTACCTCTACGAATTTTTCGTAGTTCTCTACTAGTAGTACTTTGATAGTAGTACTACGTAGTACATCTGGTGCTTTGTCCGACCAACACATCTATTATGCCAACTAACAAGTAACAACCAAAAGAAGTAGGATTGTAAAGGTAATGGATTTTGTCAAGAGCTATGAGTCATGCCTATTTAGTACACAAGTTTACCTGTTATTTACAAGGTCATAGCTCTTGTCAAATCCATTAGCTATAGGTGGGTAGATGGATAGCGCATGCGCCGCCTTCCACACCACAGTTGCTTCGATCTTCTTGCGCGCTCGGTTGAGTCGCTGATGAATTACATGACTAGTTACGTCAATACAAATATTTCATTATTTGTATTGCTGTTAAGTTTGTGTGGATGTGTTAAACTGGAAGACGAGGAAGCGTTTACTAGCAGTATAACTAGCATGAAAATAACAAGAGTTTGTTACTATAATGTTTACTGGGAAGATTTTTTTGTTTAAATAAGTGTAACTAAGATAATAATTGTTTAGAAATAAGGTTCATGTACTGTAGGCTGTTACGAGGGTCTAAAAGCACAAATACTGTAAAAATAAACACTACATATTTAATGGAATTTATATAGCAAAATTCCCCCTTTATATTTAAGATGTTAGGATGGGAGAACTTCCCCGCTTTAGGTGTTGAAATTTGAGAATGATTATATTTACAACGTATGTCACCCTAAAATCTGAGCGTTTTTCGCTGATCCACCCTGTAGATGTATATAAATGTATAAGTTACTGAATATAATCATGTACTTACCCTTCGAGAGAAGATTCGACTAGAGATGCTACACAATTATCATACACTTCGCTTTGGTTGGATTCCGTGTCAAAGACATAATTGTAGGTGAACGCTTTGTCACTGCCTAGAGTAACTTGGGGTTCACCTGGTGTTACTGTAGTGCAGATGTGACACATGTCAATGATCTCACGTGGTATCTGAGGACGAATCCTGGAAAAAAGAAAACGTATTGAAATAATGCAGAATAATGAAGTTATCTTTTTCAATGCAAGCTCAGTGTCTATCGGTCATTAATAAAGGATTTGAAAAAGCGTAAGTTTTTATACATGTCTTCGCAATTGCAGTGTTGATTGTCATGCAGTGTAACACAAAAATAAAAATTTCTAAAATATCTTTAAATTATGGGGTGTCCTAATTTTGTCCTCGACAGCATATATACTAAATAGCGAGACTGACGCTATAACAAGAGAAGTAGCAATAGTAGTATGCATCAAACATCATCAACGAATAATTATTTAGAGTGATGTACATTTCTTCTTCATTTTCGAATGCAGTATTTGTCACTTCCGTAAATTAATTCGTATATATATATATATATATATATATATATATATATATATATATATATATATATATATATATTGTTATGATATGTAAAATCGATAAAAATATTGGTTTGATCAAAATATTTCAAAGGTCAAAAAACATTAAATAATTCAGATAAGTAAGATAATAACCAACAACATTTCGAAGAAGGAAAGTATTTAAAATTTTTGGATTACCTGTATTAAACAAAATGTACTATGCATAAATTATTTCTTTTGTTATACTATACTTGAGTGACCCGCATAATTTTAAGTGAAATCCAAAGAACAATTGAACCGGGTTTTCCAAATACATTAACGCAGTGATTATAGACAATAGAAGATATTTGGAAAGATGTTTTTGTTAGTTTTTAAGAATTATAGAAAAATAATATTTGTAAATAAGTTTTAGGAAATTTTATAATTATAGGTAAAAATTTGTTTGTTATCGGAATGAAAGAATGGGGAATTGTGACGAGTTTTGATTGGCGGAGATTGAAAAAGGTGGGAGGTATGTAGGAATGAAAGTTTAGCTAGATTTCGGAGTGAAAAAAGATAGTTAGTTGGTTTCCAAGGGTGCAAGGCGAACGGCCGTTGTTCTCGGGTAGTTTCCCAGAGGTAGGAAGCAGTAGCAGTGAAAGTTTGTGAGTTTTCGTGTAGTTAGTGTATCTGACAGAAGCTGATCCAGTAAAATATTGTAAGTCATATTTTTCTACTTATATTCCAAGAGTCACTGTTCAGGTCAATGAGAGATTCAGTTTATCGTAAAGAAAAGATATTCCAAGAGTCATTTTTCACTCAGGCCAACGAGAGATTCAGTTTATTGAGAGAAGAAGAAGCTAGCATAATTTGAACGATTCGTGCATTTGAAGGAGATCATTAAGGACGAGATACTTGCAATAATTTATTGTAAGATTGCTGATTACTTAGGGAGCGGCCACGAGTAAATAATATAGTCTACAAATAACAAGGATTTGGACCACTCATCATCAGAGAGAGATAGTTTTGTTTTCTGCAGTTTTTCTTTCATTGATAACACAATTTTTTACACTTAATTTAGAAAGGATATAAATATTTTGATTAATAGATTTAGAGTAATACTTGGATTTTGAGATTTCAACTAATATTGTTTGTACCATTAATTTTGATTGTTCACGTACGTAGAAAAAAATTTTGAGAATTATTATATGAGATTTTGTTTATTGAAAACTTTTGAGTGTGAATTATTTCATTATTTTTATTTAAATATATGGTGTTAGATCATATGTGTTTTTTATTATTCCGGTATTCTTTGGACCTTACCTTTCACATGTAATAGCATAGATATTGAAGCACGAATTTAACCCTGAGATAAAAGAATTAAAAATTGTGATAGAGTCATAATCATATCATTTAAATAATTTTAATTAATCAAAAAATTAATTAGCTAATAATTGCTTGGCGCACCAAGACTTTAAATATCACAATAATATATATATATATATAATATATATATATATATATATATATATATATATATATATGTATCGTTCGTTTTCATTTGGGTTGTTTTTCTACTTGGCCGGAAATATCCTTAATATGACATAGGAGTTACGAATGGTCGTTAAATTTTATGAAATTCTGCACTATCGATTGAGACAGTTTACTTATTAGTTAGCAGCGGATTTTGAACTTCTGGCAGAAATGACAAATAACAGTTTTCTGAGAAATTAACAAAGCAGTTGATACACCCATAAAACATAAAAAGAAAAGACGAATTACTGAATTCTTGATTAATACTAATGGTCTTTCGTACTTAACTAATGTTTAACTAATTAGAGGCATCTATTACATCCTTTTTGTAGATAATATAAATGAAATGACTTTCCTAATTGTATTTTGTGTTTTATAGTTTAACATGCAATTAAAACTTGTTTTTATCTTTATTAGCTTGTTCGTGAGTGTAATTTCCTTTCTTGATTTCACGCACAACAGATGACATAAATAAAAATTGCATAATTGAAATTACTTTGTTGATAATTATAGACCTCGGATATTGAGTGCAGTTGGATATTTGCTACAAAGGTGAAAAGGCCTACTTGCCTACAGAAATCATAGAGTTGTTATAAACAGTGTTCCGAACCATTAGCTCAATTAACACCCAATCAAAGTAATAAAAAATCATTATCTAGCACAACAAATATATCTTTACTTTGAAAATAAAGCAAATATCGAGCACAAGTTTAATCAAATCTTGCCCAAGTACTTTCTAGTTGTGCAACACTCCAGTTTCCATATTGGCAGAGTTTGTGTAATGTGAGCGTAGCAAGTGAGTGAGAAGTTGGAACAAAGGGCTAAGTAGCATAGAAAAGATAATCATTATTCGAGATAATTATTATATATTCCAAATCAAATAAGGGATAATTATTACAGTAAAGTTTGCATTTTAAATCACATAAAGAAATTGACCTAGTTATTGCATTGTTTGATAATTGTTTAAACGTAGAAAAAGCACGTCAACAGAAACTATTGTTGTAAAAAATAACAACACCCATGACCCAAATACGAGTAATAACGCCTAAGACTACAACTCAGCGAAAACACGACCTTGGTACTAGAACCGGCGTTGAAAGTACGAGCACAATAAAACAAGAAAAAATGACGGTAGCCAGGCAGTTAGTAATGAGTAGTCAGTAATAGCGGCACACCGTGACTGCCCGCTCAGGCAGTGATCGCCGGCATTGGGTCGGACGCGATAGCGTCCCGTACGCCAGGCAGTCGGTAATTCTCCGGGGAGCGCTTATCATCCCGGCATAGTATCTCGTGTAGTCCGGTTATTGTGGCAGCTCGTAAGTTCATAACACAGGAGGAGACCCTCATCTGACCGAGTTCCAGAGGACCGAAACGTGTCGTGGTTGAAAGCCTAAATACACATAAGGTAACAGATTTCTATATACTAACCTGAGTAATTATAATAGTACAACTGTCAGCTCTTCACTCCCTAGCTCCTGGTCTCCCGACACGCAGAATGTCGTGTTAACGATTGTATTTGTAACTTCAGGGTAAATTCAATATATTGTAGACTCTAAATTGGTTTTTTAATGTTCCTTTCGTCCGACTCATTGAAGAGTATAGTAGAATACGAGATTCTACTTATGCATATCTCCGGCTTCAAAAGTAAGCCCATAACCTCTGCTCTTTACAGGACCTGAGACCTAGGAGTCCTTACCCCCTTATCCCGAAAATCCCTTATCTTCTCGTAAATCCACGAAGACGAGCCAGCCCTCCAGACTAGTGTGACCCGCATTCCTTGCAGCCGCTCGCAGGGTTAGCATCCCTTGAGGATCTATAAAGTATTACATTTGGGGACAGCGATCTCAATTCTTGTGTATCACATCTGGTGACAGCGGTGGGATCTCATACACGGACAGATGTGATACACAAGAATTGGGACCGCTGTCACCAAATGTAATACTTTATAGATCCTCAAGGGATGCTAACCCTGCGAGCGGCTGCAAGGAATATGGGTCACACTAGTCTGGAGGGCTGGCTCGTCTTCGTGGATTTACGAGAAGATAAGGGATTTTCGGGATAAGGGGGTAAGGACTCCTAGGTCTCAGGTCCTGTAAAGAGCAGAGGTTATGGGCTTACTTTTGAAGCCGGAGATATGCATAAGCAGAATCTCGTATTCTCCTAGTCTCTAATGAGTCGGACGAAAGGAACATTAAAAAACCAATTTAGAGTCTACAATATATTCAATTTACCCTGAAGTTACAAATACAATCGTTAACACGACATTCTGCGCGTCGGGAGACGAGGAGCTAGGGAGTGAAGAGCTGACAGTTGTACTATTATAATTACTCAGGTTAGTATATAGAAATCTGTTACCTTATGTGTATTTAGGCTTTCAACCACGACACGTTTCGGTCCTCTGGAACTCGGTCAGTTGAGGGTCTCCTCCTGTCTGCTTACGAGCTGCCACAATAACCGGACTACACGAGATACTATGCCAGGATGATAAGCGCTCCCCGGAGAATTACCGACTGCCTAGCGTACGGGACGCTATCGCGTCCGACCCAATGCCGGCGATCACTGCCTGAGCGGACAGTCACGGTGCGCCGCTATTACTGACTACTCATTACTAACTGCCTGGCTACCGTCGTTTTTTCTTGTTTTATTGTGCTCGTACTTTCAACGCCGGTTCTAGTACCAAGGTCGTGTTTTCGCTGAGTTGTAGTCTTAGGCGTTATTACTCGTATTTGGGTCACGGGTGTTGTTATTTTTTACAACAATTGTTTCTGTTTGACGTGCTTTTTCTACGTTTAAACAATTATCAAACAATGCAATAACTAGGTCAATTTCTTTCTGTGATTTAAAATGCAAACTTTACTGTAATAATTATCCCTTATTTGATTTGGAATATATAATAATTATCTCGAATAATGATTATCTTTTCTATGCTACTTAGCCCTTTGTTCCAATTTCTCACTCACTTGCTACGCTAAGGCACTAGCCAGAAATAGAGTTCGCTGGAGACACTTTGTGGAAGCCCTATGTTCCTCTTAGGAATCTTGGGACTATATATATATATATATATATATATATATATATATATATATATCTCGAATAATTATTATCTTTTCTATG